GGTACCATACCCAGCTGCTAGGGTGTGCAATCTCACCTTGGTTACTGCACCCAAACCTTGGTTAGTATCCACTCAAAACGGCTAGCTTCTTGGCAACTGCCATGGCACTACCCTCCGCTCATCATACGGCCATCTTGCGGCCTAAAAACCAGCACTGTCAATGGGTCATGCAAGGCCCGTTGATGTCCATGCCGTTTGGCATGGCATTGACTGGTCGCAGTGCTATGGGAAGGCCCATGCAGCCCTCAAAACGAGATGCATCCAGATTTTCCAAACTTTCCACAAGCCCGTGAAAACCCACGGATTCTCCCCACGGGCATTCAAGGTCTTCTAACAACATTTCATTCTCAAACGCCAAGCCTCAGTGGGGCGTTGAGAGGTATAACAAATTGGGATCTCCAACGATGGGGTTGTGGTGAACATGAGACTGACATGCTCTCATGTTTCATGTTGGACACATGTTACAAAGTGGTAGCCATGGTTGCAGGGCGCAAATGCGGAACCACAATATGCAATGGATGCAAGAAAGTAAGCAACGACGGACTCAGTGTATCATGATTATCAACAGCTACGCACAGATGATGGCAGACAGATAGTGGCAAAAAGTTGGTGGCTAAGACTACAGTGCAGCATAAACAAGCAGAGGGATGCTGCTCAGGTGATGCATGATCGAATCACCGATGAGGGCACGGGACAGAGAGGTACAATGATTGTCCCCATCAGCTGAGGTGGGTCATGATCGGGGTGCTATATAGGGAATTGGCTCCAACAGAAACTCGCTTAAGAGTGCAGAGAAGTGCAATAGTGGTCCCTAGTAGCGGTGCAACTTCATGTTCCGGTGGTGTCATTTGCAAATATGTCTGGCAATTTATCCTGATAGTGATGCACATAGACATAGAGGGCCGATGCAGGGGTGGGGTTTTCTTGTGTTTGGGTACATATGTCAGCCCCAATTCTGTGATTCACGAGGGACAGCAAAAGATGGCTTGATTTTCTCTGCCCTTGTGACACATAGTGCAACACAACAGCCATGGTAGGGTGTTATCTCCAGTATAGTCGTCCAGTCCACTGCTATGAGCCACATGCATCGCGTGCCACCACACACACAGCCGTTGGTTCACAAAATGAAGAAACAGGCATGGCAGCCAGTGGTGTATGAAGGCCAAGACGCAGCGATGGAGGAAGGCAGAACTGCGAGAGTTGGGAAGGCTGGCAGGTGTGCAGGGAAGTAGAGATAGGTGGAGTGCTTTGCAGAATGCTTGTGTTGCAAACCCATCGAACAGGGTCACCGTGTTGATTTGATAGTTGACCTGTTGCGCACGATTCACGTTGCACTGTGGGTTACTGAAAGATATGTTCAACTATATTGTGGCCACAGAAGTTCATGTTGCAACCATAAGCTGAAGCTGTTGGTGTGCTAAATGCCTCTGCCAGGTAAATTTGTGTCAAGGTGATTTTCCAAATTCGGGGTTGTTGGTTTGCTTTACCAACTGGTAAATAGGCTGAAGGTAATTCCCAACACATTGGTGGCTCAAAACATGGGTGGCTCACTGTCTTGTCATGGCACGAGGCCAAAGACCCAAAAAATGATGGAAAACAGAGTGAACTAAATCAACACTTCAATACAATCTGTGCATACATACAATTAACACATCTACGACACATGCATCTGTTGTTTGCATATGATATCCACATCGCAACCTTGCAACAAGGTATCATGCAATCTTCACATTCTAGGATGTGTTTCTGTTCAGTTGCTGATCCAATCAATGTGAAAAAGGTGGGCAACCACAGAAAGGCACTGAGTGTGCATTGCAGGTGCCAATTGACAATTGACAAGTTCCAAGATTTGGCTGATTGTCTAGAAGAATTCAGCTTGTGTAGTAACTGAATTAACCAAGCCAAGTTGTCATCACTCTGCACCAACAGGCATGTTTCATACAAGTTCCATACATTTTGGACTGGCAACATAGGAAGCCAAAAATCTTCACACAATTCACATCTGAAGTGCCATCGTGCCAATGCCTTATGTCTCACTTTAAGTTCCTTTCAATAGGCTCCATTTTCTGAGATTGGGACACTGAGAGCTTCAAAGCAAGGGAAAGGTGGCAAAGCCAAGATGCTCCTCACCACATCATTGTCTAATCCTGAGATGACACGTTACATTGAGAGGACTGCACATTTACAAGCCTTGGTTCCAGTGCCAGCGATTGCAGGTGGTTGGCACCCAAATTAGCATTTACCATTTGCTGGACTTATTCTGGGTAGGTAGTTTGGCAGTACTGCTGTAATGTTGCACATGCATGCGCCTGCCACGGACGTTCGTGCAACGCGCTTGTCAGGTGTGGGGAACAGGAAGCCAGCATTGTTACCGACAACTGAGTCCCAAAAATGTGCATGCAATGTAGCACAAGTCAGAGCCTGCTGGTTATCTTTTTACCAAATACCTGGTCAACAAGTTGCAATGTCCAACACATTCTCCAACAAAGTGGTTGCTAATTCTTAAGTTTTGAGAGCAATATTGACTCAACCCACCCTTGCTGGTTCACCTTCCCAGGCTGTGCTGCTCCCCTTTGTATTCATCCCTCAAGAAGTTGCCCATCTCCGGATAGTACCAAGCAGTTGTTCTTGAGTGAAGACCACACCACAGCACACACAAAAGATTTTGAGCATGGAGAATTCTGAACATGTCCTACTAGCTCCCATGCATATCATTAGGAATTGTTGTGGGCAGTAGCAATTTCAAATCCTGGTGAAAAGAGGCAATCCAAAAGACTGTGCAGGGAGCAAATGGTGCTGTTCCCTTACCACTTCATATATCAGACTGCAGATTTCTTGCCTTACAGTAATGGCGATTCTGTTCTGTGCAATATAGGCAATGACCATGATCAGCCCTGCGTCTATGCACTCCTTGGCCCCCAAACTTCATCATTCTGTTCAACAAATACCGCAAATTTCACCACAAGAATCTGCTCAAGTGCAGCTGCAATAAACACAGATTTGGTGTGGTCACCTCTTCAAACCCTCTCTCAGTGTTATTGGCAAATGATGTTGTTGCCACCAAGCATTGCTAATTTGCCATGTCCTTCTCCTCAGCCACGCTGATGCTATGAAGCATTTCCAGACTGCTGCAGCAACTGGCTGTTATCTCCAACCGATCATTCTTCACAGCTGCACACAACAGAAAGAATGTAAACGAACGAATCTTTCAAAGACTGATCAAAAGCAATTGATGATTGTGCAGCAGGCATTCTGTGGCTCAGCATCTTGTACACAGTAGATAATCCATCAGCTTCAGGAAGTTTCCCTTCAAGTCTTCAAGTTTACGTGCGCGAATCCTGAACATCGTGTGTGATTACATTCCTCGAAATCACAAACACAGCCCTCATGCCTTCAAGTAGATGTCGGACGAGCCTGCACTCAGAGAGTCCGATACACCATCGCCCAATACTCCACAGCCCAAATCTGGTTAAAGCGATAAGCCCTCCGTGGGTCATGAGCGGACATCTTTGCTTGTCTCAGGCCGGGCCCGTACCTGCCTCCTCTTCCCGCACTATCCACTTGCAACGCGCAGCAACGCATGCGTCGGCCCGATCACGGGGCAGAGTGACAGCATACAAAACTTATAAACGGGTACCAAGGGGGCCCTCCGCCAAGGAAGCAACCCAGGCACAGAGGCGGAGCTGTTCCAAGGACGTCTCCGTCTAGGAGCAGAGGGGGCACCCTCTCCAGGTCGGAACCCGGATGAACCGGGGTGAACCACCCCAACAGCTGGCCAATTCGATCTGGCACCATGCAAGCACATGCATGGGACGGGGGCCAATGACCGCATTAGTGGTCGCTGTACTTGCAAACTTGGGCGTGCGGCAGCGACCGGGGCTGCCACCCGCGCCCAAGCCGGTGGGCGTCGCGGAAACTTGGTCGGCCGCGGGCGGGCGTGGCCCTCGGGAGCGGTGCCGGTGGGGGCAGGCTGGCACCTCTCCGCCGGTAGGCCGCCCGGCGGGACTCGAGGGAGCGCGAGCGGGACCGGTGTGGCGATCTGTCGACGGAATCGGCGAGGTGCGTACCAGACTTCGTGAAAGTCGCTGGGGTATGTTTTGGCTGGCTGGAGATTCGGCGCGGGGAATGGGGTGAGCAGTTGCTGCTGGCTGCCTGGCTCGAACGGTTGCGGGCCAGACTTGGCTGGAACGTTGGCAGGCTGGCCCGATTTGGGACGCTCTTCGCGTATTGGGGCGGTTCTCGCGCCCTGGCTCTTCCAGAGCGGCGGTAAAACAAGGTGATTGGGCTGTGGTGAGGGCGCTGATGGTCACGGACGGAGGCATGTCTTGCAGAGGTGGCCCGCTTGTGAACAAGGGCTCCTGCCCCCCACATCCCTTTGTGAAAAATGTTCGAACGGAGGTGGAATGCAAACTGAATGGGGTGCGGCCATGGATGGGAGATGCAGGAAACGCGGAATCGGGGCTGTGCTAACGGACCAGGGATTGAATTTGGCTTGCTGGGCACCAAGGCTCTTGGAGTACCCTTTGCTGTTTGATGTGCTGATGTATCACAGTGCTATACGTTGCATGACGTGTGTGTTGCTCCAATTGGGATTCGTGGTAAGTTGGTTCATTGGGCATAAAGAAATTCTGTACGGTGGTTAGAGGATGCCCTGATGGCTGGTCGTAAAATAAAGGTTGTCAAATGATGGAAAGAGAATGTCCTGTAATGGGCAAGCAACCACCTAGTGAATACGACCCCTGGGAATCTATTCATGGGGAAAAGAAGACATGGGAGACTCTAGATGCGGCAGGGGATGGACCTGCCCCTGGATGGTTGGTCATGATTCGTGTGGATGTGCATCACCGCTTTTGAGTTGCAAGGGTTCCATTTTGTCTTCTGGAGGCAAATTCAACACAAAGAATGTTGCCGTCGAAGTGCAAAAGCACTGCTTCGCCCTGCTAAGGCAAGGTGTAGTCAAGGGAACTTGTTAATTGCTCTGTTAAAATGTTGCTGCACAGATGAAGAGGGTCTTTCAAACTTTCATGTACTTCTCTGTCAGCTTCTTCTGGTGGGGGCGCAGTGTAGACAAGCTGACTGAGGATGCCAAGGAGAGATTGGAAGGGAATGTTCCACCCAGGTATGCATGAACATTGGGGCAATGTGTTATACCTTTATGTAAACAATATTGACAGACGACCAGCTTGAATATAGTGCACTTATCCACAGCTGGAGGTTGGTGTTGGCCCCAAATGTGAATTTGCTTGATCATAGAGCCTTGTGGAGGTTGCTGTGTTATGCACTGTAGGATGCTTGACTGGTTCAGGGATTGGCAAATTTGCTGTCTAGCCTAGTTGTAACTCTGCTATTGCCGTTATTTATTGCTGATTGCATTCATTAATGTGAATATGTGCCAGGTGAATGACGGATTTGCCATACGATGCATGCACAGAAGGCCCTGGTTGTTTCCTTGCAAAAAACAAGAGTTGTGAACTACTAGTGTAGGGAATTGCTTGTTCCCTGTGATGGCAAAATGGTGAAAAGTGAGGGGTGATTTGTTGTTTCAAGCCATTGTACCTTGTGAGGACGGCCAGAATTTTTTCGCTGCTTAGGCTGTGGTAGTTCCATCATGCTGCATGGTGCTTCCTGTGCACTTCCTGCTGAAGAACACAGTGTTTTCCTGTATTCCCATAAGCTGCTGTTTGTAGCTGTGTGCACTGGATCACTACTCTGGTACACAGTCATGATCGTTTAGTTTGCTGAGAGGTACTTTGTGTGGTGCTTGTCAACGTCACTGCAGACCATGGTGGCAGGACATGACATGGCTACTGGCTGATTTGTTGGAGTCAGACAAGGACATGCTGGCTCTTGCAAATCTCCTCTTCGCTGCTTATGCCTTTGCAGCAAGCGTTGCAATTGTGAGTGGTGGCTTATCCTGCTGTTAGTCACACATCATGGTCTTTGTTGTTGCGTGGCCACAAGCTGCTTGCCATTGATCACTGCATGCAGCAACCCAGCCTGGTACAGGCGATTGCATATCTGGGATTCTGTTTGGTGTCACTGTGCAAGTAGCTGCAGCCAACCTTTCAGGTATTCAACATTTACCCTTTTGCATAGCTGTTTGCTATTGACGAACTCAGTTGGTGCATTCTCAAACAACATGATGTCAAGGGACTTTGGAACACCATGTCCTTTCTGTGCACTTCATGCAGCAAAATTCATGTTATTCTCATCTTTTTGCAAACTGTGCATGGGCAGCCTCTTGTTGCTTTCTGACAGATGCAGCAGATGTGGTGACTTGAATGGTCCTGCTGCAGGCTGGCTGCTTTGGTGGGCTGTCAGATATTGAATTCACCCGCTTAAGGGAGCGTGCCCTCAAGTTTCTTCTCCTTAAACTTGTCATACTGCTGGCAGTCGTCCCGGCAGGCTTGGTGGCGCGAGGGCTGGACGCGTGTGCATGGACTATGTGGTGCGGATGGTGGTATTGTGTAGGGATGGGTGGTGAGTGGGATCGAGTCAGTGCCTTAATCTGGTGGTGTTTTTAATTCCAGTGGACATGCAGCCATTATCATAAATCATGTCCTGCAGAAACAGGAAATGTACCAAACCATGTGCTGCCCTTCCCGGGTTGAAGCATTTTCAAACCAGAAGAATGCTGGATGAAGGTGTGGAGGGCTGCGAACACAGGGAAATGAGTCAATAGATGCAGGCATTGTTCAATTGAACAGAAAGTCACGAACTTTGAGGGTGGTTCGTTTGCAATCTGCCCACAACCCCATTGGTGGGCCCTTGGGGCACAAGGGATTTAGAACGTGACAGCTGCATTGACAACTCGTTTTAAGTATGCGTCCCGACAATGCAGCACTCTCCACCAAATGGGATAAGGCACCTTTGCTGGAGATGCATGGAATGGCAGTGTTGTGCAATTGCTGGAGGCGTATTTGCCATTGAAATCCCCAGAAAAATGCACCACAGAGCTCCAAAAGGGAAGTGTTGCAGTGGCACTTGATGGAGCCACTGTAGAAGACTGAATAGAAGAGTAGTTGCAGTCAGATTCATGTCTACACAGCATCGTTTTTGTCGCTTATGGTGTTTCAGAGTTGCAACTTTCTCATGCATTTCTGTTGCAAAAGGCACACTTGTGGATGTGTGGTGATGGAGCCATTTTGTAGCAGCATGTGCTTCTCAATGTCATTGGTTTGTTGTAGGTTCACAATCATGGGCTACATGCACCTGATAATCGGCGTTACGAAAGACCGACTGGAACTCCTGTCCACTTACCCTCCAGTGGGCATAAGCAAGTATGTGCCACCCTTTGTGTTGTTGCTGCTGGTGCTGGCCCACGACTGCATTTTGGCAGCACAGCTGTGGCAGCACACAGAAGGGCCAGTGAAGTTCGCCGTGTGGTGTCTACGAATGTATGACATCGTCCACACTGGATTGCTTGGGCTGAAGACTTTGATCAGATACAGTGAGTGCAACACTTTCAGCTGTTCATGCTCAGTTTTGGCTCTCCGCATGCATGCCACTGTTTTGGAGTTCAAGCTGTGCTGGATCTGACAATGCTGTGGGCTTGGATGTTGATGCAGGAATCTGGGCAGAAAAAATAACTCGTTGCTGGGATCTGAATATCTATATTGTAGTGAAGACAAGTAAGATGGGCTTTAATGTCCGTAAAGTACAGTCCTGGTGCAGACATTAGGCCTGTCCCTGATCGAGGGAAAACTAAGCGCGCATCCGATGTAGGTCCCACACAGTGCACAATCCCAGATGTCAGCTCGAATTTTGTAGACTCTTGCACACAGGCATGTGCAGCAAAGCAACCCAGACTCGGAAACCCAAAGCCTTCCTGTTGGGCTATGTATTCCACAGTTTGAATTTGGTCTTTTTCTCACCATTGAGTCTGACTTGAAGCTGTACCGTGCACAACAGGGTAATGGCATTTCTTTGCTGGCACCTATGGTTGGTGCGCATGTGTGTGCGTGTTTCATATGACCAGTTGCATTTGGATGGGGCTTTTCAGCATGTTGTTTTGGGCGGAACACAGTGTCAGTGCATCCTCTTGCTTGCCCAGGAGCACTGACAAGTATTTTTGATGTTGTTGGCAGGCTTGTACATTGTGGACATGCTCTTCATCACTCCTCAAGAAGGGGAGAATGAGGACACGGGCCCTTGGGGCCCCAGGGATGCCCGCAGCACTGTGCTGTTTCACATAATTTTTGTGTTTGATATGCTGATTTACGCCCTGCTGCTTGTGGTGTACCTCCATGTGTGGATTCTCCATGGCTTCACACTTGGGGTGAGTTCTCACTACTGTCACCACAGCTTTGGTTTTCTTCTCTGGTGTTGTGAATGGCATCTGCACACCACCTTTTGTGTGCAATGATTCATGCACAACACAGCAGCACCAGCTGATACTGCCAAATATGTAGAAGGGCATAGGATTGCATCATAGTGAGGAATGCAGTCAAGGTTGATTGCGAGCCAGACAGTGCGTCTTTGTTTCCATATATTCCACTCTGAGGGCAACCTGTTGATATATGTTTGGTTATTGTCAGAAACACAAGGGAAACAGTTGCCCATACATAGCAAGGTGAACAAGACGTGAAACAGCATGCCTTGTCTTGTTACATGGCGACGTATCCATCTTCCAAGTGAATGTATTCCCCACCTATGTGGGACTTGTTCCTTGATTGCGCAGGTTGCTAGACTTTCGATCTTGCTATCAACACACAGAAAAAGGAATTCTATGGACCAATCCTGGGCCGTGCAGTGCTCATCCAATGTGTATGTCTGTTTACAGCATACTTCCCAGCAGATACTGGATATTGAGCTCATGTTTGCAGCACTTGAAGTTTCAGTGGCTTGCTATTGTTGTGGTTGGTACCCTTCCTGGGTGCTTCATGACCACTGTTGTGTGGCAGCTGTACGGCAGCTGGCTTCGTTTTGTCTGCATTTGTCAGTGTTGGTAACCCATACTCTGGTACCTACTAGAGGCAATGTAGAGCTATCTATGCATTAATATTCATTGTCCTTTAGGGTCTCTCATGCCGTGCCGATCCCAGGCACACATCCTGAATCTTTTACCTTCTGCTTGCTGTGGCAACCTGTGGTGATCTGGTAGGAAATCTGACACTGCCTTATGATCTGACCTCAGCGCAGTTCATGCCATGATCAGTATGACCTCTACCATGTTGCGTGTAATGGGTGCATTCATACATTCCTTCTGTTGTGGCGATCCTCATGACAGCTCCTCGACACTGTGCTGGTGCTGGACATCCGCTCTGTGTTGCATGCCCTCCACGGTCGGGTGCGCCAGTACACGGACTACCACAAGGTCACGTACACCCTCAACAATCTCTTCCAGGAGGCCTCTCTGGAGGCCATGGTTGATGCGGGCGACTGCGCGATCTGTCGCAACCCCATGCAGACTGGCAAGGTTCTGCCCTGCCAGCACATCTTCCACCTGTCCTGCCTGAGGGCTTGGCTGCAGCAGTGTGGGGCTCACAACTACAACTGCCCACTTTGCCGGATGCCGCTCATTTTCGGGCAGGCCAGGAGGGGGAGGGAGACGGAGACGGAGACTCAACAGGAGGTGACGGAGGCGAGGTGAGTGCAAGTGGACCCCGTGCTCTGAAGCCTCTTGCAGAGACTGAAATGACCCCAGAACGACTGGTAAAATGGAACAAAGAAATGAAACCTGGTGTGAATACAATGCAGCAGAGCTTGACACTCAACAAGTGTGCCGGGGTGCTGGAATGGAGCTGTGAACCCTTGAGCAAAAGAATTGTAGGATCGGTGAGCTGGTGTTGCGTATTGCGAGCTGGAACACTGCTCTCCATACAACTGCACATTGATCTTGTGGCAGATGCTGTTTCTCTTTTTCTAGCCCACATGTGGGGTGTTGTCCTGTTTTGACGATCTTGGTGGCCAGTGCACTGACTGACCAATGTGACCCCTTGCAATGTTCACTTTGGGATCTGGTCCCAGAAATGTTGCTGGATGCTTTGGGCAAACTACACAGTCAACAATCGTCCCACACCTGGCAACAAATACCCTGGGCTTTGTGCCAGTGTAAGGTTGATGCTGTCACGAACCTGCTGATTGCAAAGCTATTAATACAACAAGTAGCCAGGCAAGATTTCGCTGACCAGTCGCCGATTCTTGCCAATACTGTAGTACTGAAGTATAAATAGCACTTTCACAAATGACTTGACGCTTGGGCCATTTGTGCGGAACCAAAAGGCGTATTGAAAACGATGCTTCTGTGGAAAAATGCGGAAGTGGAAAACCCCTGTACCTAGTGCCGATGCAAAGCCCAGAGCAGAGAAAAGTACTTTGCCTGAGCCAGCTAAGTGACCTGAGGGTTGGCGCTCACATTGCACCTGAGACACACTCGCTCATGGTGGACGAGGCGCACGGCAGGCTGCCGTTTGGCAGCTTTGCTGGTTGGCCGATGGCAACAAAATGCCCCTCAGGAATGCCTTTGCAAAAAGTAGGGACGCGGGCGCCGGAGGCAACGGGCTGCAAACCCCGCTTTGTGGCTTTCGAAGGCCCCAAGCTAGTCGACCCATTGCTGCTGTAGAAAGAGGGAGTGGCAGCATGCCTATGAAGACGACAGGGCAGAAAATGCACTGCGACTTTGTGGGTGCAGCCCCTCAAACAAAAGGGGTTTGATGCACAAGACGCTCACCCTGGGGCTTGCAGCATTGTAGGATGCCGAATACTCGTGTCGTTTGCTGGATGTCCCTGGTCCACCCACCATTTGCTTCTGCGGCCTCTGCAGCGGTGATGCAGAGCAGAACAGTAAGCTAGGCGACGCAGCTGAGGCAATGTGTGGAAGAATAAGCCCCTTAAAAAGCAACACAAACTTTCTGAAATGCAGAAATTCTAGGTATGGACTATTCCTTCCTGACGAAGCCCCTGGCAATTGTTCTGATGCCTTCTTCTGTGCTGGTCAGCGATGGCAACCAAGTCAACAGCCCCTCAACAGAAATAAATTTAATAGACTTATTTCCTGAGGAAGGGTTGAATGACACAAATGAGGTTGTGGCATCCGGTCAAGAGCGTGGGGCCCACACTGCTGCTCTACAGAGCCGAATATTGCATGACCCAACATTCGGCATGGTCCCAAGGGCTGGGGGCCAGCAGCAGGGACCAGCGGAGGAGACCCACACATGGAGCACAGGGTCTTTGGCATCCTCTTTCAGGGCAATGCTGACCCTTACAAGAAATGTCACAGGTTCGTGCTACTGTCTTTGCATTTAATGATGTTCTTGATGGACTTGTTGTCCTCGATGTCTGCATCGAATGACCACATCAAGGTAGGGTGTGATGTAATAAGGAATTACAACAAGTGCGCTTGCCAAGTTGTCTTCTCCTTTCCGAAATGTTTGCAATGCAGTTCAGACACACGATGCACAGTTGGGAACAGCAAGCATTTGAAAGTTTGACCACTACTGCAGAGACACCCTTTCACTTTGCCATCAATGGCAGAGCACATGCATACATCCTGGTAGGTAGGTGAAGAAGGGCTTGGTTCAATGGCAAGCCAACATTGAGGAGTGTCATATCAGGACTGGGCCCATTGCCGGCCCCAACTGTTCCCATCCATGCCCAATGCAGTCTCTGTCAACTCGTGCAAGCCCAACTACTCGGAGAAGAGCAGCCTTGTAACATACACAAACATGTTTCAGGCAGTCTCTGTCAACTCGTGCAAGCCCAACTACTCGGAGAAGAGCAGCCTTGTAACATACACAAACATGTTTCAGGTGGACGATGCGTTTCAGATAGTCGGACACAGTCAAGATTTACTAAAACAGGACGGGGCGTAACTCTGTGTAGTGTTGAACCTACATGCATTATGATGATGAAAATGCCCATGTTGTCATGGATAAAGTGGCAACACGGGTCATTTTCTCTGAAATCGGATGATCAAGACCACAAGCCTTCGTGATTGGCTGCTGCCTTTTTACCTTCCAGTCCCCAACCCAACGTGCGTGTCTCATTGCTTCGTGATCTGGTATTCTGTACCATTGGGTGCAGGGACCAAAACCTATTCCAAAGTGAGGTTCAATCCAGTCCACGCTTGGTGGAGGAAAACCTAGGCCAAAATCAGGTTTAACCTAGTACAAATTGAGTTTCGGCCCTACAAGCAACAAAACCATAAGCCCTAAACCCCGAAACCCCACAAAACCTACAAAAAAGAAAAAAACACTCGAACAACGTTCATGGCCATCATCTCCTGAAACGAAGGGTATCAAACATCTGTGCTCCATATGGCAGGGCTAGGTCGAATCTCAATTTGGACAAGGTTGAGCCTCAATTTGGACTACGTTTTCCATGCAATCAGTGTGGACTAGGTTGAATTTTGATTGGACTATGTCGAACCTAGTTTCCCTTCGTCATTCGGCCAAGGGGGCGCCATGTGGGCTCTCAAATTTGATGCAGTACTCTTGAATCCGATTAGAAATGATCTGTGACTCTAATCAGAAATTTGTGATTCCAATTAAGAGTATCAGCCCCTGCACAGCTTTTCTTCTTTTCAGTTCATGATTTTATGCAACTGGGCATTGTTTCCTGTTGAATTTGCAGATGCCATTTCTTAATATATTTGTTGGTGCATTAATGCGCTCAACGTCAGCGACAGTGTGGTTGCAGCAACGCAATTTCCGCTGTCACCGATTGTGCTTGAACTGGTGTACCCTATCTTTCAGAAGCTGCACTTGGCACGCAAGGCGCCGTCGCTGCCGCAAGCGCCGACGAGGGGGAAGAAGTCACCAGCCAGTTCGAGGCGGCTGACACAGACTTTGAACTGCCAACTTCCGAAATCTTCACCCCCTCAGAAGGATTCGATAGAAGGTATGTGGAGCCAGAACCACCTGAGGGCCAGTTTTCAGCCCATGACGCCTCAACGAATGTCCAAGAGCTGTCAACACAGCGTGCCGGCTCCCGGCGGCAGCAGGGGAGCGAGGGGGTTGCGGGGGGGAGTGAATGGGACGTGGGGCAATCGGACAGAGGCCACGGGGATTCCGGGGCCGCGATGAGCACAGAGGAGGCCAGTGGCGGGCTGCATAGAAGGCGCGGTGACAGGGGCCTGTGGTGAGCGCCCGTTGAAAGCTTGGCGCTTTGTCTTTGCAAATTTTGGATAACAATTGTAGTTTTGAAACAGTTTAGAAGATAGTTCTTTTTTGGGGGGTAGGGGGGGAAGGGAGGCGTGGGTGCTGGGGGGCAGGATGGCGGGCAAGCTGAGCGCTGCGCTGTGCGCGGTCTGATAGACAGGAATGGGTGGTTTCTGGTTTTGTGACTGTGCAGCCTCGCTGGTTTTGTATTCGTTTTATCGAACCATCGCCACACAACTACCGCTGTTTCTGAGGTGCTGTGCGATTGCCACCTGTTCGCGCAGCTGCATAATGACCACCGTTTCACTGGGTGAGTCACTTATGAATCAGCTGGCGAGGGACTCATGTCTGACACGCATGATGACTGTGTGGGATGGCCCGAGTATGCCACCACCGGCTAGAAAGAGAAAAAAATCAAAAACAAAAACAAAAACTGGTCAAGGGCTTGCATTTTTGATGGTATAGCAAGCTAGTCATGAAAGTTGAGAGGAGTATTGCCTCAAGGGGCGCTTGGTGACGACTGAGCGACACCCTACGTTGCAAGAGTATTTCAGGAGAAGCTGCCTCACCAGTATTGACCGCGGCTCTCAATATCTGGTGGGGCTATGTGTCCTGAATAAGGATACCACCCAGTTTGGGTGTGTGTCCAGCCTCAAAGCCAAATGCGCAAGGCTAAGAGGTTGCTGGCCTGAAAAAGGCTAGAAAAGAACCATGCACAACCAAAATCTTGGGCCCACACCTGATGTCTCTTTCCAGGGTGGACTACCCCTTGATAAGGCTGCATGTGTTCGCTTATTCATCAGTCACCCACAGCTGGAATATTGCTGTGGAGAAAACGAATGTGCTGGCTGTGCTCCTGGCCGTCTCATCTCATCATTTCGGTCCAGATTCGATCCCCTACGCTGATGTCTCTTTCCAGCTATGGGTAGGATCTGAATTGACGGTCACAGAGCTGTGTTCTGGGCCGTATCGTTCAGTAGTTTGGGCCCTAAGAAGCATGTTGGGATGTGTCTTTCCTCAGCATGGGGCTGTGTTGGTGTTTTGCCCAGCCAGCCTGATCTTCAGTTGGCCCAAGCGCTGGGCTTATTATGGTGATCTGAATGTCGCTGAAAAAGTGACAAGACCAGAAAGATGCGGGAAAGTCACTGAACAAGTGACAAAGATAAGGAAAGACTCCTGAACAAGGAGCTTTGAATCGATCAGAGTGCCCATGATTGGGCTGGCTGTGCATGAGAGGGTGCCCTAGTGGCTGATGATTCTTTCCAGCCATGGGGCCACTCAAGTGTATGTTTGTGGGGCTGTGCCCCCAGCCGCTCGATTTGCAGGCATGTGCCTCAAGGAACATGCTGGGATGCCTCTTTCCCCAGCATGGCACTGAGCTGATGCTACTTTCCAGCTCGTGCCTCCTTTTGGTGTGCATGACCTGATGCAAAGTGTATTGGCCACTGGAGAAGTGGCTGGAATTTACTTGCCACTGGAAAAGTGGCGCTGTCATTGGAAAGGGACAGCTTTGTTTACTGAATATCACTGAATAAGTGGTAGTGACTGGCTGCCACTGAAAAAGTGGTACGGCCAAAAAGATTGGATACTTTTGGTTGATGCTTACTGCTGCGAAAGTGGTAGGTTGCAGCTGCCACTGTAAAAGTGGTGTTGCTGTGGAAATTGGGATGATATGTTGAGTGTTTACCACTGAAAGAGTGGTGCTGCTCCTGAGAAAGGAGCTGTGAGTTTATGCAGGACTGCAGGATCAGTTTCTGAATAAGAAACTGAAGTTCAGGACCTGTTTGAGGAAACATGCTGGAAAAGCATGTTTTGCATTTGATTACTATGGGTACTTTGTTGAATCCCTGCAAAAGGGATGTGTGCAATCATCAAACAACTCCTGAAAAAGGAGCTGTGAGATTGGGTGAAGGTGTAAGGCAGTTTCTGGAGAAGAAACTGAATTCCCTGAATTAATTTGGGAGTTGGTTTGATGCAAGACATGCTGAAAAAGCATGTATTGCATTTGCTTGGAAATGGTGCTTGTTTGGTCCCTGAAAAAGGGACTCGCATGCTGCCAGGCAAGCCCCTGAAGAAGGGGCTGGTTCACCTTGGTAAAAGGTGTACTTAGGCACAGCACTGGAAAAGTGTTGTAGTCTAGAATTATTGTATTTTATTTTGGGGTTTAAATGTTACGCGCACCGGCCTGATGTGGGGGACGCCCTACTACTGGCCCTTGGTGTGGGGGACGCCCTGCCCAAGATAACTATCCTCAACCCATAGTAACCGCTTTAGGTATTAGGATACGGGAGTAGGAGGGGTGGTCCCCCCTAGATCCCCGTAAGGACCTAGGTGCCCGGCGAGGCGGGTCCGCGGCTCAAAGAGGGCAGGAACCCCACACCCACAGACTTTACGTATCATTTGGTTTTGGAGCCACCTGGGGGTGGCTACCACACTTCCGCCTGGGTGGACGCGCAAGCTCGGAGCAGCGGGCTCCCTCCCCGGCCTCCCCCATGGAGGCCGAGGAATTGGACCCTGAAGCCCGGAAGGGCAGCCCAGCATCTTCGGGTGCGGAGGACGATTCACCCCGGAAGGGGACGCCGACCAGTTCGGTCGGCGAAGACGTTACAGCCCGGAATGGGCAGGGAAAGGAAGAAGTCCAGAAGGACATAGCCGGCCCATCGTTGCGACAAGATGAGCCGGAAGAAGAAGACCAGCCGATGGCCGAGGTGGAAGAAGCTCCAGAAGAGGAGGTGCCAGAACCGGGTACGGTGGCGGCTCTGCTGCAGGCGCCGGGCATCATGGAGCTTCTGGAGAAAATGGCTGTTACGAATAGGATGTGGGTGTGGGGTTCCTGCCCTCTTTGAGCCGCGGACCCGCCTCGCCGGGCACCTAGGTCCTTACAGGGCACCTAGGCGGGACCACCCCTCCTACTCCCGTATCCTAATATGGATAAAGGTTACATTGGGTGAGGAATAGTACGTGCCTTGGGCAGGGCGTCCCCCACACCAAGGGCCATTAGTAGGACGTCTCCCACATCAGGCTGGTGCGCGTAACATTCGTCCCCCTCAGGGAGAGGGGCGTCCTCGTCCCAGTATAAGGGAATACGGGAGCAGAAACATTGTATGTATGTTGGTGGAACTGGCTGTGCGATTTGCCACATGCCCAATTAACAAAACACAACACACTAAACAATTTTGGATGAAGAGAAAGAGTGGTTGTTTTACATGACCGTCCCGGCCTTTACAACCCTCATTAAAACTCTTCCTCGGCCAAGTGGCTGGAAATGTTTGACCTCCCGGCCTTTCATCGGCGACCACGATGCCGAGTACCACCAAAAGCCCACGCCGGTCCAGATCGGCCCGGTGCGGCACCCCGCCGTCGCCCACGTCCGCGTGCACGCTCAGGCGCACGGGGAAATGGCACGTAGGGGTCGGCGGTGTCCAACCTCTCCCCGTTGAGGATGTTCACTGACATGGCGTTCATGTGGGCGAACTGTGTCCTCGCACGGGGGGCAGTATACCCAGTGTTTTTCTGGGCCCAGCGCAAGAGAACCTGTCAAAAGCATAAGCACACATGAGCATGTTTCAGTATGTACATCCCGTACTTCATGCAGTTTGCATTCGCATCACAGGTGTTCTGCCATTTTCAAATGCTTGAACCAATTCCTGTGCATTTGCAACTGACTTTGCTGATTCCCAGCTGTTATGCTCATGTCCATATCCCAGCCATTTGACAAGGTACTCAACATAGTTTTTGCGTCTCCCACGCTTTTTAATCCTTTTATCAAGGATACGTTCAACTTCATACTCCAGTTCACCTTCGATCTCGATAGGTACTGGGGGTGGCTGTACTCTGCCACTTGCCTTATAAGGCTTAATCTTCGATACATGAAATACTGGATGTATCCTATGCATGCTTTCCGGGAGTTCTAGTCGATATGCGACAGAACCTATCCGGTCGAGGATGGTGAAGGGCCCAATCCACCTCGGTAATAGTTTTCGAGTTCCAGGGTGTTTGAGAGTAATATGCTGTGTCGAAAGGAGGACGTCATCTCCTTTACTAAACGACACCTCTCTCCGATGGCGGTCAGCATGCTTTGACTGCCTATCTCGTGCTTTCTCTAAGCACGCCCTGGCCTCTTTCAGCGCTGATTGGACACGGTGATCAAATCGTGTCACTGCTGGTAATCCCTCCACGAGGGGCGTACCAGACTGCCTCAAATAAGGCTGCTGCGCCCTTTCAATGGCCACTGCCAAGCCGCGGGCATTCGGATTGTCATAGCCCTTTAATGGCTTCCGAATTTGCACACCAAGAGCTAAGGGACTCTTTGGGTGCCTCCCGTAATTCAGATAGAACGGGGTTTCTTGGGTGGAACTGTTTTTCGAGTTGTTCATTGCAAACTCGGCCATGGCTAACAGTTCATCCCACGCGTCATGGTCAGAACGCGTATAACTGCGTAAGTAATCCTCCAGAACCCGATTCATGACTTCGGTCTGGCCATCCGTCTGTGGATGGTACGCAGTGCTCATGTTGAGCTGGATCTTCCACCTCTCGGCCAGGTACCGGTAAAACCTGGAAGTGAACCGAACGTCTCTGTCGGACACTATCTGAGAGGGGAGGCCGTGGTGCCTTATCACATTCTGCACCAACGGGTCAGCTGCTCCTTCTGCGGAGAGCTCGGTGGTCGTAGCTGCAAGGCGGACCATTTTGGTCAGTCTATCGACGAACACGACGATAGCATCATGACCTCCCTTGTTTTTGGCAGTTGTGTAATGAAGTCCATGGACAACTCTGTCCATGGCTCCTCAGGAATGCCCAGTGGCTGTAATAAGCCTGGGGTCTTATGACGAGGGTACTTAGCCTGTTGACAAACCAGGCAAGTATCGACGTACTGGTGTACTTCTCGTCGCATTCCTGGCCACCAGTAATGCCGCTGGACCAAGTCCAGGGTCTTGGCTTGACCAAAGTGCCCAGCACTTGGATGGTCATGAGCCAACTGGCA